ACCAAATGAGCGATAAGTATTTTTTCCATAACATAAATTCATCCCTAAAAAAGATATTCAAGGTTAAAGTCGAACATATACAAAATTGTTTTAATTTTCTTCGAAATGTTAAAACTTATTACTAAATGCACCGTGCGACAAAAAAAAAATCAAAACACCCAGTAAAATCAATATGTTCACGCTACTATGGGCCAAATGTAGTAAAACTGACGATTTTTTTGAGTCACTAGGTATGTATTTAGATACATACATAAGTTATGTTTTATATTTATACTCGGTTGTTCATTTATAACTAAGTAGCTATACTGATATATTTCAGTTAGTTAAATGCATAAATGATATGAATGATTTTGTTTAGAGGTTTAGAAAACATATTTTGAACTATTGCGTTGTATGTTGAAAATTTGTCGTAAGATTTCTATAGTACGTACATATTTATATGTAGTTGTTGCTTAGTAAAGTTGTTAAAGTTAAGTAAATTTAAGGATATTTTATCATAAAATTATTTAAACTATTACAACTGAGACATTTTGATTACCACCCGTTTTAATAATCCCGGCAACTTGTAAATGTTTGCAATTACATACATCTGTGCTTTAAGAAGATTTCCTAAAACGGTTCTTAAGCTTGCTTATGGCACGCGAATATTTATCAGAATTAATAAAACTGATAGACATAATGAGATAATAAAAAGCGTTCCTCTATTATTGTTAAAAGGGATTCCAGTCGGCTTGAGTATGGAGAAAATTCCACGCACGATCATTTCCATAAATGGAGTAAAAAACCGCTGTTATAGAAAGTGTTGTGACTTACAGAAGATTTCTCAATTAGAACCCGAATATAAAAATACTATAAGGCTGCTAAAAAATAAGAGTTTAGTGGGATCCAAAAGTAATCGAATCGAAAAGTATTTATGTAGATATCATTAGTAACTATACGGCGTCTGCAAGGAAGTCGCTAAAACTGGGCGCCACCGAACTGACTCTTAAAGTCTACCCGAAATACCTTGCCGTAAAGAGGCCAACAAGCGCTATACACTGAGAGAAAAGTTAACCAAAAACTGGTTAATATTGCCAAATTCAAACTTCAAAGGAATCAATGTGATTTTCGGTTAATATTAACAATACTGTGGTTGATATTTTCAACACTGATTTGCTAATATTAACCACAATTTGATTTACATTAACCAAACTTTTCATTGTCGATCTTTCGTTTGAATAAGTTTATGTTCTGCACTTCGCAGATGCTTTTTCATAATTCGGAGATACTAAACAAAAATTTTTATTATCATCTTAACATGTTGACTCAGACAGGATAAACAGATAACAGCAAGCATCTCTACGCACTTAGCTATAGCCACTTTATAAATGTGTCTTCAAATGTTCAACCTGAATTACTTTTTTCGTCGTTTGATTCCTTCTGGTTCTGCACTTCACAGAGGCTTTTTCGTAATTAAGAAAAACCAAAAACAGAAAAAAAAATAAAAATCATGCGAGCGCATGAACAAAAAAGGCAAATAGTTGCGAGGTCGAAGAGCATAGATACCAACATCCCTTTGCAATTTTTTTCCAAACCAAATTTAAATAGCCATACTTATTTAGTACTGACGTTGGCGATGATAACTGGTTTAGTGAAAGATTATTGTCTGCATGCAGCACATATCACTGCTGGCGTCCAAACAAACACTGGAGCGCCCCCTATTCTTATGTGCGAAGATAGAGAGAAGTTGACTAAAATACATACCTGGGTGCTACTCAGAGCTTAAACCAAAGTAAGGCAACAGGAAGGAGCTCTTTCTTATTGGGCACTACAGTCGTGGAATCTTTTCACCGCACATTCTTCGTTGAATCGACGAGCCGACAATGTGTGTGGTTTACGTACACAAAAATAAGAATGCACTTCCAGGGTTAAAGTAAATAAAATGATACCATAGGCATACTTAAGGTTCGATCTTCACCTGGTATCGTTAGTGACCTTTACGGCAAATGCGTGGTGCACAGACAGCCAGATTGATCTAACATATAGAAGGTTTCAAGACGAAAAAGTCGAACTACAGATAGATATCCAGAGCGCGCTTAAATTAACTATGGAGGGTATACCCTACTGGATTTTTCCACTGGCGATCACAAAATCGATTTTGTGATATCTGACCAACGACGTGACTAAAAAATAACAAAGCTGAAAGGGCAGACTGTCTGCCAGCTGAGCTGAACAAGTACACGTCGATCGCCTCCTGCTATAACGACACAACTCAAAGTTAAAAAAAAAACCTTACTACTGTAAAGTGTCTCACTAAAGTAAGTAGTAAGGATAAGATGTGAATTAGACACGGATTAGAGACATGAGCTACTTAACAGTAGTGAGGGTTTTTATTTTTTGGATTGTGTCGTTACTTCTTTTAGCATTGCGCACTAGCACATTGCGTAAAAATTTTGAAATTTCACTGTTCACGAACTGACCAAAAGGCTGAAATTCCACTGTTCACGAACTGACCAAGTCTCATCAGTGAGAACGAAGATCGACAAGAACCATATTTTATTAATTTTTAAATCCGCTTTCGACAGCACGAGAAGGAGTTCTCTGTACGCCGTGATGTCCGAATTCCCTTCGTGAGAATTGAGATACCAAACGAGGTTTCAGACGCAGTCACTCCGTCGTGTGACGGTTGACGTAGCTCCAAGTTATCCGGTAACATACATATCGTCGATGGTTTTGCAAAACCGCCTATCTTACGGCACTCTAATTTTACAGGATAGCGAAAAAACGGGTTTTCTTTGAAGGCATTGCCTTGATAGGCGGTATTTTCTCTAGCTATTATTTTACAAATCTGTTGCTTTACTAACGATTTAACGATTTTTATGCATAAATCTCGATGCCTGGAGTTCAGGGTTACCAAATCTCATTTTTGCCACAACGGCGATGTAGACAGTTTTGCAACTGGTTGATAGGCTTTTTTGCAAAAACATCGACGATATGTACATAAAAAAAACTAAGATGAGTTGATTACCTTCCTCCTTTTATTGAAGTCGGTTAAAAAGATGGACATTTTGATGGAAATTTTGTTGAATTAATGTGTAGGAACGCTACCAGAACAAAGTCATAGAATATACTACTTACTTTAGCAATCCCTAATACTTACTTTAGTAAGGGTTGGATATGGATTAGACAAGATTTAGAGACATGGGGCACTTAAAAGTAGTCAAGGTTTTTATTTTTTCAATTTTGAATTGTGTCGTTATTGCAGTGGATCATTGATATGTAGAAAGTAGAGAAGTTGCATTTTGTTTCGTCTAGCAAAACTCTACATGTGAAATTAAAATTGCAGTTTTTTTTGCAAAATTTACGAAGCTAATATAAAATGAAATAAGAATATCACACAGTAGAAAGCTCGCTTTGTTGATAAACTGTGGTGCTACAATGGAACATGATTTTCTCTATCAACTTATTTCATCCTTGTGAAGTGATTTACTATCTCTTTTTGCGATAAATTACTCTCATGTACTTCAGAAAATTTGATTTTATTAAAAAAAAACCTGAAATATGAAATGACGGGTTGTTTCAACAACATTCATAACATGTTCGCTCTCAAATAGCGTAGATGTGCGTTAGGCAAAATCGATTAATAAGCCATTTTTCAGAGTATTATCGACATCCTATTTTTACAAATTAAAGTTTTCTTAATAAAAATAGATCTGCAATTTTTCTCCACAGGGCTTCTTTACATTTTATGAACCGTTAAACTAAAAAACGATAAAAAGGTTTACCTAAAAATATTGGACAAAAAATTGTTTGAACTTGGACAGAACGCAAAACGTCTTCTGCAGTACATTTACGAGGGAAGGTAAATATATACCAACTGCGATTGATAAATAGATTTCGTAGATATGTACATACATGTATGTATCTATATTTAAATACACATCTAATATTTACAATCTTAGTCGTATTCAAGAGTGTGAGTATTGTTTGTGCCTTTGCTATTTTATCTGCTGAATTTCACAGATACATAAATACTTGTGAATTTTTTGCTTCTCTAACTATTGTACAACTATTTTTTATTTTTTATTATTGATTTAATTTCGCTTCAACTTCAAATAACAATGAGCGTAAGCCTGACTTTCGATTTTATTGGTAAATACTTTTTGTTCTGTTCAAAGGAGGGAATTTTCTGCATTTAAAAGTTCTCAAAGTAAGCATTTGTAAGCTGAGTATTAAGACTTTTCGCATAATTTTGAAGTTTCACAACTGCTATTTATGTAGTAGTAAACAAATTATATTTAATTTGGTTTTTTGACATACATTTGCTCTCGAAGTTCTTTAGGTCTTGGCTTATATTAGTTTGTAGGTATGTATGTATGTAGTTTATGTATTTCGTCATATGTGTGCGATTAGTGTGAAACTTTAATGTACATATGTACATATATATAACTAGTATAAGTGAATGTATGTATGTATATGTATTGAATGTGTTGTGTTGCTTATTTATTATTGCATTCCGTGTGTGTGCTTATTTGTTTTCATGGGTATATATGTTTGTATGTTTGTATTCGCTTCATTCAAAATTTTCTTTCTTTTCGGGTTTCATTTTGGCTTTTCATTTGCTTCGTTTCATTAATTCGGTTATTTGCAGTTTACATTTTCATTTTCATTTTAATTTAAGTTTTAGTTTGCTTTTCTTTTATTTTTTTTTTGTATTTTTGCTTGCTTGTCTAGAATTAGTAGCCCCACACCTGTTGCATGTAAAAAGAGAAGAAGAAGAAGCACAAAATTTATGATTTACCATTTTGTTAGAAACATAAAATTTGCTGTGTTAGAGAATATTAGTGCGTATGTTGAAGAACGAAATAACAATATATGTATTTTTTGATTTTGAAATACATAAATTTAAGAATTTATTCTAAAACCAAATTTAAGGTGCGAAACACAAATGGTTTGTGGCATATTACTAATGAAATAGTTGTTTGAGTTCTGACCGATATTTAAAGTAAAAGCATGCTTACCGGTAAACCAGCTTTGCCTGAGGGACCAACTGGTCCAGAATCACCACGCATACCCATAGGACCCTGTCGAAGAATAATAAAAGTTTTGAATTCATTGTGAGATAGTTTATATGTACTTATGTTATATTTTTAAGCTATTTGCTAATGCTTAATGGGAAAAATATTTTTGTTATATTCTAGTCACTATCTGAGGTTCATTCCCTATTTCCACCAAAGGCTTAACTGCAGTAAAGAGCTCAGGTAAGTTACAAGACTTTTAACATGGGATGATCGGCAAGGTTTGTTTTTTTCCCCCCTTTTCACTTGCTTGTACTTATTAGGTGGAATTACCCCCTCCGAGTTGAAGTTTTCTTTTTCAATTAGGCATAAATTGCAGTTAAGGCTCGGTGGAAATAGGGTATAATACTCCTTATGAATTTCTTCATACTTATCTTAGACAAATTTTTTGGACCATTGCGTTCTTCAAGCAAACCCAGCGATTTGAAATTTAGAAAATTAAAAAAGTTTCTTGTGGATACCACTGAAGTGAAACTTGCCTTTTCTTTAATATTCATCTTAATCTTGAACTTTATCTTAATCTTAATTTTAATCTTAAAGCAAATTTTAGTCTTATTCTTATTCTTAATCTTAATCTTAACGTTAATCGGGCCCAACCACCTCCGCTTTCCTTCCTATGTCGCTTTTTCGTTACATCGATGTTTGCATTTACACCCTACCGATCGCAAAGAAGTTTCGCTTCAAAAACAAATATTTAAAGCGAATATTTTCGCTAAGTGTTGGGTCAAGCTTTTTCTCTAACTTGTGCCGTGCATTTTAATGCTTTCTCCCAAATGAAAGAACGGAGCCTTACCATTGTCTGTCGAAGAGTTACCGCTGATAGAAAGAACTTTTCCTGAGCTCTACCACAAATAAGTAAAAAAAATCGACCCACCCATAAATGAAAATCAAAAAAAAATATATAGGGTGAATAGACTACGTGATCGCGCGTCTGAGTTTCGATAGGTATCTAGAAGCTACAATAGAAATTGATGGTTGGGAAAAGGGCGTGGTGTGGCAAGGGAACGCAACGCACATCAAAACACAGACGATTCTAAGATACACGAAGCAGTAGGCTGCTGTATATTGTAGTAAACCTGTAATTCATAAGTCCGTTAGGCAACCAGATTATTGCAGGATCTATCAAGCCGATGTCTTTTTCATAAAGGAAGTGGCGGAAATACTACATGAAATTAATCAGACAAGCGAGCAAATAAACATTTACATAGATAGTCAGGCGGCTATTAAGGTTCTACTTTCATATAAAACAAATTCGATCACTGTCGTGGACTGTAAGGTGGCTATAAGAAAGCTAGCTGTGGCTAAAGCCATCCACCTGTAGTATATTGGGTCAAAGGACACAAGGGCGTGTAAGGAAATGGGAGAGCTGCCGCGCTAGCCAAAGTGGGCATCCTCTTCGGCAGATCAAAATATCACAAGATCTGCTTATATACCCAAGGAGATAGGCTTTGGAATGAACTCAGGGTTGCAGACTTGCAACAATTATGTGTAATTCATACAATTAGAAACAAGGTGAACAGACTCGAGGCTTCTGATAGGTCTTACAGATACAAAAATGTACGAAATGTAACTATCACGAGGGAACCGTGCAGCATGTAATTTGCGAGCGTTTGTCCTTCAGCAGGCACATACTCGCCTTACTCGGCAAGGTACAGCGGCAGAGCCTACATGCAGTAATATACAAAGGACCAAAGTGTCTATTAAAGTTTGCAAAAGGAACAGCAAGGTTCTTTAACATTAACCACCAAGTTAGCAGAGATTAAGTTAGGTAGAGATGATATCTAAGCGTTCGCTGAGTTATTACTATGTGTTTACGAGTGGTCCACATGAAACGTACCCTCCTGTATCGCTTCAAGAGGGTGCTTTTCCTGGATTTTTTGTAATCTCATTGTGACCTGACTAGGCCAAACATTTCACGTGAGATGTCGCGCATTGCAGCGGCCAATCGACTGCTTCCCTAATGGCAGCTACCTCCTCTTGAGAAACACTATAGTAATCTAAAAGCTCAAATTGAAGGTTACTAGAGATTTTCCCGTTAAAAGCTGTCCCTGTTAAGCTTAAACCTCTACGTGCACAAACCCAATCTAGCTAGATCCACGGTGTTTATATTAGACAAATTTACAGGCAACGAAGTTGGGGGCAACACACTTGATTCAACTAATCGCCTCTTAAATCGGCCCATGTAAAAACCGTATTGAAAATCCAGTTCCACTAAGTCTGCCAGCAGCCCATTCTTATCTACGAAGTCGATGGGCACTATGTTAAGCATGGCGTTAATAAGAAAGGTTATATCAAAAGTCCCAATAATTCTAATGAGGGCGGCTCGTTGCACTCAATCAAACTTTTTGGCTAGCGTAGTCTTCTCTCGAGCTTTCTACTAGATAAGGCCTTCATTATGGTTTCATAAAGCCTGGAACATACCATTTGAGACAATCCTCATTTCTTACCAGTGGCCTCCCTGCAGCAATAGATACATATGTATGCCTTCGTGACTATTTCCCGAGGCGCAGAAAAGGTATGTATATTTATATGTATAAGCCTGATAAAAACATCACAATGTAAAATCATTCTCTCATTTCGTTGGTCAAGATTTTTTTTGACGTTTGCAATCATTTTACAATCATATAAAATTGAAAATAAAAAATGAAACTGTTCACAATTGTTGTTATTTTAGAATGAAACGGAGATTGCCTGTGTGAGTTTGAGTTTTCAATTTTAAAATAATATTGCCGGCAAACATCAGACTGGCTCTCAATGGTTTTACCTTGTAATGTTTTTATCATATGTACAAGTATATAAAGGAATAGAAAAAGATAGCTCGGCAACAATGCCTATTTTTAATTCTTAATGACTTATTTAGACTTACCGGTAAACCCATTGGTCCCTGGTCACCTTTTTGGCCTTTCTCTCCCTGAAAGTATTACAATATTTATGTCAAAAATATATATATTACTAATCAGTTAAATTTTCTCTTCAGTTTCATAAACTTACCGTATCACCTTTGCGACCATCCATGCCGCGCTCTCCATGTTTGCCTGGTTGACCAGGAGGACCCATTGGACCGGGTGGTCCTGGTGGACCATAAAGCTAATTAAAAGTAAAGAACAAAAATATATTTTACATTTTTCTGCATGTGTCTAAGGCTTTAAATAAATATACATATGTAAATATGTACTAATGAACTTACATATTCAATGGTGGGCATATGGGGCTGATCCGACATTCCATCATCTTGTCGCCGACGCATTTTTCTATACTTCTAGTTTAAATTATGAGATCAGAATGTTTTCAATGAAATCCAAACTCAATACTGTATACTCACTGAATCACCGCGATCGCCTTTGTCACCCTTCACACCCGGATAGCCAGGTGGACCCGGCAGTCCAGGTGGACCCATTAGACCGGGTGGTCCAATATCGCCTCGATCACCTTTCTCACCAGGGGGACCTTGGTAACCAGGCAGGCCAGGTGGCCCCTCAATGCCTGGCTCACCAGGTAGGCCATCCAAACCACGTGGACCCAACGAACCTGGCTCTCCGGGTTCGCCCGCATCGCCTTTAGCACCGTCACGTCCGTCGCGACCATCCTTACCGGGCATGCCGGGCGGACCGGGTGGACCGCGCAACAGTTGTACTGGTGGATCATCGTAGTCTTCATCCTTAGCGCCACCAGGACCGAATATCTGTAGTAAGGTATCGTTTATAGATGTTGTTTTTGTTGTTGTTTGTCGATTCGGTGTTGGTGAATTTCCATTTCAATTTTCATAATGCAAAGTGCAGCAGCAGCAAAAGAATAAAAAGAATAATTTTGTGAAGTGGCTACTCAGCAGGTTGGCTGTTGAAAAGGCGGTTAAGCGTGTTACAGTGCAGCGTAAGCGCGCGTGCGTTCATGTGCACTTGAACGCGTGTGCTTGTGTGCGTGTGGGTTAGATTGCGAAGCGTGTTTGCCTCTTAAGGCTTAATACCTACTACTACGGTTGTTTATTTGTAGGTACTTTTACCGTTATTTTTGCCTACATTATTGCAACTTTTCATTTTGTTTTTGTGATTTTTATTTCAATAACTTTTCCATTATTTTAATCTCGCAAAAAGTATATTAACACTACAACACTACAAACAAATAGTACTACAACAAAAATGTACGGTTATTAAAAAGGTTAGAAAAAGTATGTGTGTATGTATATGTGGATTTTACTGCATACGTCCTATGTGAGTATTTATGTATATAAGGGTGCCTCAGAAATTTGCTTCAGATTTTATATGCATATCCTGTATTTATAAATTACGTAACGCGGTGATAACCCATGCCAGCTTGAAGTTATAGTCTTTTTCGGCTAAGAGCTTATACTAAGATTACCATGGCATACGACATTACTGCGCTCCTTATACTCCTAGATATAAAAGGCGCTTAAGGCCTTAAGTTCAGAAAAAGTTGTGATCCGTGGAATATTGCTGCTTCGAAAGCAGACAAATGCACAAGAAAAAGGACTTTTGGAACCGAGTCCAGGCATATAAACTTCTCTAAGGCTCTTGTTCTCAACAATTGTGGCGAAGGCCTGAGTAGATACCACCAGGTAGACCACTCTCGCCATCTATCGGTGAGCGTTAAACACTTCTTATGCGAATGTTTCGCACAACTAACAAACTGCTTCAGATTTAAAGGGAACCGTTTCTTTGAGGACCTGGACAGCTGAGCCCAGTTTTACTGGAGGAATTCGCTCTGGATCTGTCAACAAGCCTGATTGATTCAGGAACATGGAACCGATCCCGGTTTTTAGAAAAATAAGCCTATCTAATCTAACTCAACTAAGCGCAGATAACCATCCCTGAAACACTAAAAAGGTAGGAGCAGGAGTCTTCGCTGAATCCCTAGGATTAAGAAGATCAATCCATCCATCCCAATTTTGGACGCGTAGGACTCTTTAAATATAGCAAGTAGTTAGCTTGATCTAGATTTAGATTAGGTCCCTGGTCATCGCAATATTCTCGGGAAAGAGGCTGTCGAAGAGTTAGCATGATAGGGTTCCACATTGGCCTCTGTCGAGGATGGGGTCTCACTTCCAATTGCATATTGAGAAATATTTCTCCATTCACTCAACTTTATCAACCACGTGTTAGTTGGTTCTAATATTAATTCGAGCTATGTATAAGGTACTAAAATGGCATGTCTGCCACTTAAGTGTAAAAGCTTTTCCGCCACCATTCTAACCTAACCAATTCCCGATAGATTTAAAAAAATCCACCAGAGAGAGGAATTGCCTATCGATGCTTTCCTAGAGGAACTCAAATGCGTGAAAAAACTGGAAAACAAAGCATTGTCTTCTTAAAAATTTAACTACGTACGAGCCTTTTATTTCTTGAATGCATGTAAGAAAAAAACATTCGTCGCATCAGACGATTTGCAACATTTAACTACAAAATTCTTCCTCTATCTGCCACACTCTGTTGCACAATTGGTAGTAAGTAGCACGAAATGACTTTTTAAATTAAAAAAAGGCTGCGGTTATCAGCTAAGAACTTTCTTAACACATGTATCCGCATGTGCATATGTAAATGTATTTTGTGCATGAGCGTACATAGTTATTTGTCAGGATAGAATGTTGCAGCAATATTACTTTTTAGGGCACACAACCGCACGTGTCCCGAAATAAATTGTATTTGGTTTGCTTTTTGACAAAAAATGTACTGCATATTCGTATACATATGCACATACGTACTCACACACCTACATATATGAGGGAATGCATTGCTTACACGACATGAACAATGTATGGATAACCGCTTAAAACTTACTACATACATACATACTACTCACATGTGTAGAATGTGAAGAGTGGCAAATTTCTGCTTCCTAGCGGTGTTCTAAGTAACAGCAGCAGTTGAGATAAGAGCTGCAACAGTAGAATTTGTGAAAATGCTTACGACAACAAATTTTTTTCCGTTTTTTTTTTCATACACATTCGTATGCTGCCCTGCAGGAAATGTATCTAAGCGAACTTTATGTTAATTAGGAAGGAGCTATAAGTTACTTATTAACTGTATATTTTCTTTGGCGACGGCTAACTATATTTCTATGGCGATGGCCTCTGCATTTGATGTAACTTGTAACTTGTAACTAACTACCGTTGGACATAAAATATCAATAGGAAAACCAAAGTAATTTTTTTGTATTTTTTTTTACTTTATTTTTTTTATTACATTTCATATTTGTTTTCATACTCTACTGTAGGTGGTCCCATATTCGAACTTCGTCAGACATAACTTCAAAATGATAATATGAAATTTCGATCTTCCTTTTATTTGTCCTCAATTCGAAAAAGTATTTGCGAAGTGCAGGATATTTAAATAGAAATGCATTACTAGTCGACTTGTTTCAAGTTAACTTTTTGTAGCTAATTACAAGTTATATACTTTATAGAAATCCCGCAAAAAAGCTAACTATAAGTACGTTATTTTTTTCAATTGATAATTTTGTTCTGCAGGGTATGTATATATATAGTATGTAGGTATGTGTGTATGTCTTATGTGAGGATGCCGTTGTGCAAGTGTGACTTTTTGTATCAATTTGCGGTACAGTTCTGCAGTATTTTAAAGTGGTAATGGCAAGCCAAGTAAAGAATAACCAAATACAAACTTACATCTAAAAAATTCATATACACACATACATAGCAAACATTCGTGAATGTTAAAAGAAAAACATATCGCTCGTTTGCTGGTAAAAAATCATAGCTAAAAAATTCCAAATGCAAAAAAAAAAATACTTTAAAAGTGTTTTCCTCATTGAACTTAAGTACGAGTAGCTAACGGATAAAAAAGAATATCGATACTAATTTTAAAATTTAGTCAGGATTATAAAACTTGTTGATAAAACTTGAATTTAAGGCCTTAACTTCAAAATAGTGTTTGTTTTCTTGTTATAATTGCTAAACAAAATGGAAATGTTCCTTATTGGATTACAATGTAGGGGCGTTAAAATTATACAAAAAAGAAAAAACCGAAACAAACGAACCTAATTTTGGGTCGCAGATTACGAATCTGCATACCGTTTTTCTAGATCAGGTAATTTTCACAAGATATTATCAAATCAAGTTTGCAGTGCAATTTCATAAAAAATGAAAATATCTTGCGAAAATTATCAGATCTAGAAAACGGTACACAGGTCCATAATCTACGACCCAATCTTAAGTTCACGTGTTTCGGCGTTTTTATTTGTGTCATTTAAAAACTTGAAGCTTTCCCTCCAGCAAATGAGCTGTACACACTACGTAACTATGCAGTTAAAAGAATTCAAACCACCAACAATAACACAAAAGTAGTAATATTACAATATGAATCCTGTGTAAATTACCATTATTTGAAATTTTACACACCCATACTTACAGTCATTCATTTACATTAATATGTATTCATTTGTGAAAAAACAAAAAAAATACAAAAAATTATTAAAATAATAAATTTAAAAATACACTAAGTGAACAGCTACAACAAACTACATACATTTAATAATGTGTTAAATACAACATAGAGGCTTTGTTTTGTTCTCATATCACCACCAAAAATTGTATATGTAAATTAAAGAAGAATTTTTCGCAAAAATGTTATGACAACTCGTTGGCCAAATATATATCTTCGTCACAAAGATCCAAATGCAACCAAAAAAAAAAATCATAACAAAAAAGTTCAATTATTCCAGATATTTCAAGTAATGAAATACGATAATTGCGGTATAAGGTATGTATATATATATACGATTCAGGATTTATGTATAAAGCGTAGTACATATACGAGACAATGAATTTATAGAGGGGCTTAAGGGCATTATACCTGTGGTTTTCTAGACTGTCAAGTGAATTTTTACAAAAAAGTTTGAACTTTGCGCAAATATTTTTTTTCTTGATTGCGGAAATACCATATACAAAATATATTAAGGGGTTGGTCACTGAAAGAGATAGCACAGCATTAAAAAATATGTCTCAATACATATGTAGGTGTTTGAATTACTGGGTATAAGAAGAAACTGCAAAAGAAATTTGGCCAGGCAAGTTACGACCACTCACATACTTCCCAGAAAGTATACCCGTTAAATACATACACATATAAATAGCCCCCTTTTCTATTGAAAAATTTTACCTTCTCGTTGCAAGCTCTTTAATTTCTCATTTTTCAAATACGAACGACATTCGTAAAAAATGTATTCGCGTATCTATATCTATCTATATAAATATATAATACGCGAAGGCATTTTTGGTTCGAGATAAAAGATCCGCACCGTTCGTTCGATTTTCAAAAATGAGGCGTCAAATTAAAAGGCTTGGACTGTATAGGCAATAAGGTTTTACTTTTTCGATAAGAGTTGCCACCTTTATAAACTTATACTCATATTATTAAAAAAAATAAATCAATTATTACAAAATGGGTATCAGCCGAAATGGTTTTGAAAAGCTTTGTTTTAGAGCTGAATTATGGGACGGTTGCCCCCTATTTAAAAAGTCAGGGGTTTCAGAAAGTAGATAGTAGTTTAAAAATATTTTGAAGAGGGTTGCCACCTGCTTCAAATGTCGAATTTATTTAAGGTGGCGAGTTTAGAACTGATTCGGAATTATAGAAAAAGGGATGCAGAAATTTCCTTTGATATGTGTTTGTCGGCTTTTTCGTTCAAATGCACTTTCATTCTGCACTTCGC